GATCAATGTGGTCACAAAATAGTGATCCGTGTAACGTACACACGGCACACCGTCCCGGAAGAATGTGCGTGCCCCGTAACAGTCGATGTCCGTGTAGACAGTGCATTGGACTTTTGTGTGCTCGACATCCTCGTAGAAGGAGCCACCGAAATGAAGACAGCCATAGCCCTTTTCCTTTCTAGCCGTTTCGTTATTTCGATGATCGATTGGCTCCTTGCATTCCAGAAAGTCGCGCGGCAAGAACGAGCACATTACATTCGGTCCCAAAGGATTGAACGTCGAGCTGGACGCAGAAGCTCCTTGTGAATTGGAGCTGGAGCCAACTGGCGACTGTGCCTGCACGGGTACAACCGACTGCACAGCCGTTCCGGATACAACCGTTTGCGGTTGCTCCTTGTCACTGCGAGCCTGTATGGCATGCGTGACGGGATTTATGGTTAGAAACGAGATGACAACGCTTAAGAAAATTCCTTTTTGTTGCATTGTTGTTTTTACAACCTTGTACAATGCACCAACACTAGAGATGAGCGTCATAAGTCTAGCAGTATGCAAATAAGCAAAGCGAGATTCGATAGTATCGATATTTCTTCAACACTGCTCATTGTACAAATGGCGTCTCTAAAATTTGATTGCTTGGATTTTATAAGCCGGTGTCTTTACCTGACCGTGATTTTGCCAAGACCGCGAAGTAAACAACAACAAAAAAATAACACAAATAAATAAAGAAGAAGCATGTTGAAAATGGAGAACTACCAATAGAAACCTGTAGTAAAAATTGTTAGCATAAAATATACACGCCATCCGATTTGTCATGGATATATTTGAAAATATATGTCGCACTTGCGGCAACGACTGCCTGGACGCCATGAACATATTCGTGGACAGCGTTACGGTGCTGGAAAAGAGCGTTCCAATATCGGAACTATTATCCACATGTATGCCCACGTCCGCGACGTTGCCAGCACTGAGCAAGAATGATGACTATCCCAAGCAGATATGCCGTGTTTGTATCAAAAAACTGATTATGGTATACGAATTCAATAACAAATGGATAACGGCCAACAATGAGTTCAACGTGGCGCTAAAGTTTGAACAGCGCCGCAATCGTTCCCGGCTATCCCAGCCAATGCCGACGACGACACTCGACGAGCAGATGCCAATTAAGTGTACCGTAAAGACTGTGGATGCAAACGTTGAATCCATTGCAGCAGACACCGCTGGTATTAAGGCGGAAAGTATTGTGTTCAAGCATGAGCCACATGAAGGTATGTTTGTTGCACAGACATAATGCGAAACTGCAATTAAATATGTGCGCGCTACTTTCAGGTACGGAGATCGGGACACTGATCAATACAACTGATATGGACCACGATCTTGCCCCAAAGAATAATGTGGCAATTGCGCAGACAATCAATTACCAGTGCGCCTTGTGTGATGAGTGCTATCACACGCTTGCGGCCTACCAGAAACATCATAAAGTCAGCCACCGCAACTCTCAATTCTTATACTATACGCCAGGACAATAGAGCTCACTTCTATACACTTGATTGTTTTGTTTTACTTAGCTATTTATATTGCGGCGCAAAAAAAAAAAAGGTTGAAAACAATCAGATCGCACAGTTTTCTTAGTCATCCTCGTCCTTGCGCACCTTCTTGGCACGAGGATCATCGTCACGGAAGACCACATAGCCCGTTTTGTAGAGACGATTGTCGCCATCCTTGGCGTAGTAGTTGGCCAGACCAATGCCAGCCATGACGATGCCTGTAAGAGCCAATACCGAGCCGCCAACAATGTCGGGTATCTCGTTCCAGGCGCGCTTGAGCAGGGACGTTGAGCCTCGGGCGGCGCTTGCTGACATTGTGGCCGTCTGCAAGTACAAAAAGGGGCTGTGTAGTTGTTCGAATAATAGTCGGAAATTTCGTTATACTTATTAAAAATACGCGTTTCAGTTACACAACAAGAACAGACCCAGTTGTTTAGCGATGTGATATGACAGCTGCTGTATTTATCGAGCTATCGATAGTTGAAAACAGGCTGCCAGACTGAAAGCAAAATCAAATCAAAGTGGCACAGCAGTTTTCGTTAAGTTGGCAGCGCTGCACGAATCCAACATAAAATCTGTTAATCTGGCAAACTGTTTAGATAATTGTATTGACTCTAATCAGTTGAAATATGGAAATGTACATGGATTTAGGTAATATTTGCTTTATTTGCCTTAGCACCACTAACGTACTTGTGGATCTGTGCGACGAGCGATTGCGACAGCCTGCAGGGGAACCCACCCTGGCGGACAGTTTACTTGCCTGGATAAACTGGGGCCGTATTGAAAATGACTCAAAGATTTGCTCCACTTGCATTTTGAAGGCACCTATAACGGATACATTTAAACGCATTTGTCACGACATTTTGCAAAGTAATCGGGAACTGCGAGCCCGTAATGCCGCCGCTGGTCAATAAACGCTAAAAGAGTCCGAAGCATTATGAACCATGTTCAAACATAAGCATTCAGTTCTTGATGTACTCATGAGTCAATATCAATCGACCCTACTTTTAAATGGCGATAAACTAAAAACAACTGTTAAATTATGTTTAATCGTTAGTATTAAATGAGTTTTTTATCTTTCACAAGCTTCCTTAACTAGTACAGACATTGCTTCGCTGTTTTATTAACAGTATTATTAAGCAAATCATTAAACGGTAAAAATAATCGAATATTTCGATTGGTTCTTGGCGTTGCCAGTCTGTTATTTATTGCACGGTTAACAGTTTGCTTACGACTTAACAGTCTCGCTCCTCACTTAACATAGTTATTAGCAGACAGTTTCATGTAACAGGTGCGTAAATATCGCACACCTCTAATTCTGTTTATAAGCTTTTCAAAACATCTAAAATTTCTTGCAGCGGCAAAGCAATATGACGACCATACCGGGAAGAGCTCTACACTACGTTTTTAAGATTGGTGACCGTGCTAAGAATGCGTTCTTCTTTCGCAACATTCTGGGAATGCAGGTAATATGAAGAACAGACAGGCCAGTTACGTCTTGGGGCTAACTTGCAAGCCCGGTTATAAGCGCAACGTCGTATGTGTGTGTCTGTATTTACTGTACATACACATATATGGGGGCAATTACCTAGAATATCTAATTATCTGAGAAACATGACTTGGCACTGTGTAAGTCAATACAATGCCAGCCCGACGCGTATTAAACTAAAATAAGATAAGCACCGGCTGGCGTTTAAATTCTGATTGTTTATTTTTTTCCCATTCAATACTCGAATAGGTATTGCGGCATGAGGAGTTCAAGGAAGGCTGCGATGCGGAATGCAATGGGTAAGTCGTATTCGGAAATTGTGTATGGCTTCAAGGAAATCTTTATTTGCCATCACTTTCCATGTGCGCAGGCCTTATGACAATCGCTGGAGTAAGACCATGGTTGGCTATGGGCCGGAGAATACGCATTTTGTCATCGAGCTGACCTACAACTATGGCGTCAAGAGCTACGAGATGGGTAACTGCTTCTAGTTAGACAAATTTCAATCTTCTCATACAAAATCTTGCAGGCAACGACTTTGGTGGCATTACAATTTATTCCAAGGATATATTAACGCGTGCCGCTCAAAATTCCTATCCGGTTGCCAAGCAGGGCGATAGCAATGTGCTGACCTCGCCAGATGGCTATAATTTTTACATTGTTGAGTCATCGCCCACTGCCAGCTCGGATCCAGTGCAACAGGTTGAGCTGAATGTTACCAACTTGGCCGCAACGCGCAAATTCTGGCACGAGCTGCTTAACATGAACCTGGTCAATGAGACGGATAGTTCCATTTTGCTTACTTATAATGCTAAGCAGACGTCTCTACGCCTCACGCTTCTAAATAAGCCCATTAGCCGAGCCAAGGCCTATGGGCGCATTGCATTTGCGGTACCCGGCTCTGTGCAGAAACCATTATTCGATGCCGTAACAAAAGCTGGCGGTACCATACTGAAGCCACTGATTACACTGGATACGCCAGGCAAGGCAACGGTTACGGTGCTCATTTTGGCCGATCCCGATGGTCATGAGATATGCTTTGTTGACGAGGAGGGCTTCACAGAGCTTTCAGAGCTGGAGCCAAATGCTGGTGACCAATTGGACAAGTACATACGCAAGGATCCATTCCAGGAGAAAAAGTAGACGCTCCGTCTATTATTATGAGAACTTGTTGAGAATCTTGCATTCAAATTAGAAAAAATATTTTTTTTTTGTGGTTTTTTACAAAGTTTCAATATATACAAATTTTTAGAAAGTGTATTAGATAATGATTTTGCTTAACCATAATAATGTTAACTAGGTGGCAACAACAACTGAACTTGAAAGAGGGATGTCCCCTTCAGTGCGTAATACCAGGGCTGTACAAAAAAAGCTGTAAAAGTATGGCAGCCTTGGTGATTAACAAAATCTGCTGCCTTCCAAAGTGCAGCAGTTCAATTTTCTCAATTTGCCTAAATACAGCCTAAAGACACCTACAAAAATTGATATTCTGGCGACAAATGTCTTAAATTTGAACTTGAAACTATGTAATCGTTGATGTAAGCTGTCAGCTCGTCAACTCTTGGCGTTGCCAGAGTTTCGCATTGAAATATATTTTGCAGATCCGCATTTTTCTTCCAGCAATAGCTCGATAATTGGGAAAATTGTGTTTTCAGAAAGACTTTTGAAAATTGAATTGGAATCGACTGGATGGGAAGCAAAAATGTTCGCTACAACCGCGCTCCGCGAATTTTCCACAGTCACGGGTGGATTGCCAAAATCCAGTCCTAGCGCGTAAGCCCCAAATATTATGTACTACGGTCGGTCAGTCAGTCAGGACAAACAGTTTAATGTAATTTAAAATGTTGCTTGGCGCAGCATTCCGGAAATATTTGTCATTGAGTTTTTAATTTATTTAAGATATTTGTGTGGTCTTTTGAATTATATTAAACTCGATTTTAGTTTCGTTGAAAGCTGTTTTCTACATTTTTTTGTTATTTATTTTTTAGGTTTTTCAATTTTTGCTTTGAGCCCTTTGAGTGTTTTGTTTTTAGATTCAATGAATATCTCAATATCTGATCCGGTCGTGGTGGCGCCTGCAGTCTCCTTGGTGCCACGCCTGCAACCATGGGAGTTAATGGGCTGGTCGGCCCAACAGCATCGCCGCATTTGGCGTAGTTGGGCCCAGACCTTCGCCCGGAACCGTAACAATATGGCCGCTATTCATTATTTTAATAAGTGCATTGATGAGCATGACGACGGCCACTTTTTGACCCTTTGCATGCGAAGTAATTTCAATCGGCAGATAGCCCAGGCGGAGAAAGCACTGGACGATAGCAGAAAAGCAGCCAGAATAGCACCGTGGAGTGCGTTTGTTAATCTTCAAATAGCTGATGCGTTATATGATCTAAATAAATTCGAAGAGAACAAAATGTCGCTGCATAACGATTCGCGTTTATATTCCGGCACCAAGAAGTTGCCATTCAATTACCGTCTGTTAGTTGTCAATAGTAATTTTGAAGATAATTTGGGCGATAGCTTGAGACCGTTTTTTCTGAGGAATTTGGCCAGTATGCGTACCATATATGAGGAAATACTCAAGCCAGAAAAGCCAGCGGAAGCATCTACCCGCTGGAAGGCGCACAATGATTTAAATGAATGCGACGTTCACAGTTTGGTCGAGAAGAAAAAGATAAGGATATCACCATTGGAGGCAGCCCGGCGCAAGCGCAAAACCAAAATCTATTATCAAAGTTATTTGAATGATTCCTGGATTGATATTGCCTTTTTGAAAACCCTGCGCCATAATCCCATCGTGCTGCTGGACAAATATTACAATTCTGCGCACGAGCGCGAAAAATATTTGAATAATTCCTATGAGTGCATCAAAAAGTTCACAAAAATGTTGCACGCCCGTAGCCCCATGTATAATCAGAACTATCAACGGATGGCCAATCCAGATATGTTGGAACAAATGCATCAAGACAATAAGAACCGCATACAGTATCAAACACGCAGAAACATGCTATCCATTCTACGAACTATTCGAGCCTTACGTGAACAGAAGGACATTGCGGTGAGTAGTGGACTCCACAAAAAAGAACAGACCGACAAAATATAACACAAATTTACAGATTACTAAACTAAATTTGCCATCTTATTAATTTTACTAATGGCATATAATATATATGTTTGAAAACGTTTTTTCCGACTTACCATTCTGCACCGCGCAGCTTTAATTGATATCCAGCTTCGATGTGCAGACTTATTTATACGCAGGCGCTTCCTCTCATAGCCCACATTCATGATCTGCCCTTCATATTTATATACAAACAGACACCACACCATTCGTATCAGACGGCAGCGCAGCCTCAACTAAAAGCACGCTCCCAGCCTTATTTATAGTGGCTCTTCTTCTTTCGAAATGATCTGCGCTTCATATTTTTCTACAAGCACACCCACACACACAATTACACCATCTGCATCGGACGGCGGCGTTGCTTTAACTGACGGCCCGCCGCAATGGGCGGCCTTATTTATAGTGGCGGCTCTTCTTCTATCGAAATGATTTGCGCTTCATATTTTTCTACAAGCACACCCGCACATAAAAACATTTGCACCATCTGCATCGGACGGCAGAGCATTCCCAAATGAAAGCCAGCTCCAATGGTCAGTCATATTTATACTGCTGGCTCTTCTTCCGCAATGATCTGCTGTTTACATTTTTATCCAAATACACATATAAAATTATTTTATTTATTGTTTATTTTTCCAACAGCGCCTGCGCAAATTTGTATCAAAAGTAATGGGCGAGTTTGTTGTGCTGAAGACTAGAAGGATAATGCCTTGGAAAATTGAGTTCATGAACGAGGTGTACAACCATTTGGCATTGAGCTTATGTGAAATGTACAGTATACCGGATTATAAGGTGTCGCCCTATGATAATGATTCCATGTGCCGCCTGCTTGGTGTTAGTCCATTGAAGCCGACTGAACCGCAGGGCGTGGTGTTTGGCGACCGTTCCACCTACACCTATGAAGACAGCGGCGCTGCATTTGAACAGGCCCAGGAGTACAAGTAGGTTTTCATATCAATCTTTATTCAAATTGCGTTAATGCTAATGTCTCTGTGCTTTCAGGCGAGCCAAAGCTGCGCTGGACAAGCGCTTGCATTTCGCTAAGCTGCCCATCGAGCGCAGCTATCTGCTGTACGAGATAGCCGATTGTCTATTGTCTCAGAATCATCTGGTGCATTGTTTATTGTTTGCCAAAAAGTCAATTGATGAGGCCGTTAGAGCCAATAGCAAAATCTGGCAATTTCTGGCCACCATGCTGCAGGCCAAGGCGCATGCCATACTCTGCAAATACGAGCGCCAGGCGGAAGTGCTCAATAATGCTTATAAGCTGGCCAAGGAACTTAAGTCACCCAGTCTATGTACATTTATTGAACTGTGCCGCATGCTTAACAGAGACTACATGACCCTGCGCAAAGTGTCCATATTGGTGTCTACCAAACGGTTGCGCTGTAGGATATCAAACCGATCCAGCTGTATGCTGCCGCACCAGATAGTACCTAAGGCTGATTCGGACAAGTTATAGGCCTAGTGAAGCGAGTGCTCTACAATTATGCTGCAGGACTTACCCGCACTTCTTTGTACACCACTCGCTTCTCCAGGTCAACTGCCGTTCATGTCCTTGTCAGCGAGAATATTGTTTTTATTTAAATTTATAATATAAAATAACAAAAAACACTAAATTTTTATGCAAAACTAACAATGAAAATCATACTACGTAGTTATGTAAATCAAAAAAAGAAGAAATTAATAAATGCATCAAACTCTTATATTTGTAAAAAAAAAAAAAAGAGATTTTAAATTACGTTAATGGACTAATTAATATCATGTTCAACATTTTATTGTATGCGAAATATGAATATATTTCAGCTTTCAATCAATGATTGTCAAAATAAAAGTGTGTTAAAACAAAGGATACATCGATCAATGTGTTTCTTGAGGACATGAAAATCGCATAGAAGGGCAATTCTCATTTCAGAATAAAAATCGCATAGCAGAGCTATCTTCATTTCAGAAAGCAAATGGTAGGCACTCAGGAATATAAACTTAATTTAATCGAAAGGGAGACGGCTCAAAGGCTCAGCTTTTTCGCTTTGGGTTTTTTCGAGCGATACCGAATTGTTTAACAAATAGACAAAAACAAACTAAATTTTCTTTTCATCTAGATTTCCATCTATATAATTGACTTCACAATGACCCATTTATGCTATTTTATTTCAATGGACCATATGAATGTTATGTAATAACCCAGCATAACTATATGCACAAAATACGAATTGATGAATACTTGTAGGAAATCTGTTCAGTTGTAATATCATTTCCTCATTGCTTATAGTGTCAATTTACAGTTGCGTTGAGCACGTAGCTTGTTTGTATTTTCAATTAAAACAAAAAAAAAAAAAACAACAATTTAGTTCTTTATTTGGAATCTTTTGCCATATATGTTTTTTTGATATATTTATTAATATGCCAAATGCAATGCACTTGACTCCATTCAGTTTTTGAGTAACATAACACAGCCCCTTACCCCAATTGTTTGACTGTTTTCATCGATGAATTGTCGCATGTTTGCGCTGGCAGAAACGACCCCAAAAAATGGGCAAAACAACAATCGACTGACGAACGAACGAACGAACGCTTCATTTGTCGCATGCAACGCGGCCGCAAATATGCAAAAGAGCAAAATGCGTCAATAAATGCAGAATGTGCTACACTTGCAACACACAAGCGGCACGAATGAAAAATGTGCTGAAAAAGTTTTATTGTGTCAATGCTGGCCGAGAGACAGGCACATTCACACACACACACACACACGCAAAGCAGCAGACAGAGCGAGAGGGAGAGTGAGTGCGGTAGAAGGAGATAGAGCGAAGGCGATAGAACGGGAGCGAAAGAGAGCGCTGAGTTGGCAAGTCCTAATGGGCCAAATACACACATATACATTTGCTAGCCGTGTTTTACTCTCAATACGAGCACTTGTACTCATGCTGTCCGTGTGGTGTATAAGTGTATTAGTATATGTATGTGTGTGTGTGTGTGTGTGTGTATGTACTTGCAGCTCATTATGCCAGGCTGCCATTAAAAATGAAAAGAGACGGTCAAAAAAAAAGAAAAGGCACAGCACACTGAGCGAAATTGTCAGTCACCCAGCCCAGTGGCAGTTAGAAGTTGCTAAGGGCTATTATAGAGCCGATGCTAGGCTTCAGTCCAGTCCAGTCCCCTAGCCCAGTGAATGTGGCTTCATGCCTTGCACTTCAATCTGTTGCCAAAATGGCTGGCAAACAACAACAAGCCATGCCACCTGCCAGTTATGTGCAAAAAGCGCCAGCCTTATTGGCCAAAATTGGGGTCAACACAAGAAGGTCGCATCGACTCGCAAGTCGATTCAACTCAATGTTGGTAATGCTAACTGTGACGCTGACGCTGACGGCGTCGGTGACGGTGACGGCCACGATAACAGCACAAATAATTGGCCACGGCAACCAAGAACCAAATTGCATTGAACGTTAAGTTTCCATTTGTGTGCAGCGCGTCACACCCCTAGGCAACAGCCAGGCCCAGCGAGCCGAAGAAACCTCCAAATGATAGCACATATACAATACATATACATAAACATACTAATAAATGTATATATATGTATATATGTACATAAAAAGTAAATAAATAATTTGCTTACCCACTCTCAAGGTGGCTGTCACTACATACATATTTTATATAGCGCTGAGTTCTCAGTTGTTCAATTTGCGTTTGTGCATTGCTTTGACTTGAATTTTGAGCAGAGCTTTAATATTAGCTTTAAGCGCTTAGTTGAACTTTAATTAGTTAAAGTTTGAGTTGGGACACAGCTTCCGGTGGAGCTTTAATTAGAGCTTTAAGCGCTTAGTTCAGCATTGAGTACAGGTTTACTTCGGACATAGCTTTAACTTGAATTTCAATTAGGCATTTAATTCGAGCTTTACGCTGTTAAGCTGTGCCTTAAGTTGTTCACGTTGCAGTTGGCTTTTGGGCAGAGCTTTCATCAGAGCATTTAGTCGTTTAAGGTGAGCTTTAAGCTTTTCAATTTATAATAACACAAAAGCAAACATCACTTTGAAGCCGATCGTGTGAAAAGTGAAAAGGAGTCATAAATACGTTTCCGCAGGCGAGACTGGGAAATCAAATTGGCGTTAATCCTTAATGATTCAGTCATTCAGCCAGGATAAGCTGTCAACTTTTGTTTTAGATAGAATAGCTCCAGTTAATTTCTGAAAGAGTGTTGTCCGACTATTATATTTGGCTTTGGTGCTGCATCGATTTGCAGGCTTTTTGCTTTCTGCTTTCTTCTTTTTTGTTTTTGTTTTTTGGCACGATTTCCAGTGTATATGTGTGCTTTTTGGTGGGTGGCGTGGGATGGGCAACTGCTAATTTACGACTAGCTGCCTGGTTCCTGGGAAGACTCTCTAAAGATTGCAGCAATTGTCGACCCTCTCGTGGCTCGCACAGCGCAGTTAAATGAAAGCGGGCCACAAAAAGCATTAACAAAATAACGAACTCAAACAACAGCCCATTTGCCCGACTATGGAATACCCATTAAAATGATTCACTTATTTTGTACGTAAAAATTGAGATGTGATAAACATGTTAGAATTTATAAACTAAACACATTTATAATAAAATTAACAAATGTGATTCTATGCTGTTTCTTGATGCTTGAATCCTTGCAATTCGCAACAAGTTAAGGTTTTGTCATTTACAGTTGTGTCATATAAAGCAGGATGTTCAGAAAATGTGACATTGGATGTTCGTGGTAAAATAATGAATGTGCATATATCCCTTGGGTAACTCCTATATAGGGTATACAAATATATTGCAAGTAAACCATCAGAACAAATGCGAGAAATGTCCAAAAGTAAAGTAAAACACATGCATATGGACCCCGTAGGTATGATGGCTGGTGGGCGGCAAACAGGCGTGGCTGGCATTTAGTGTCCCCAATAGGCACATGCAATGCATTAGGCCCCAGTTGGTGCGCTAACGCCCTCAATACAATCAATGGACCCCACCGAGGTGCCATTAGCCAAAACAAATAATAATAGCAGCTGGCTTGAGCGATGTGGATGCAGCAAAACAAATAAAATTAAATTATTATGTAGAATGCAAATAAAACTCTAGTACTTAGCATGCAAATCGAATAACAATTTGAGAGCGGACGGACAGAGACAGAGTGAGAGAGAGAGAGAGGGACATAGACATAGGCCAAGATTGGGGCAGTCATAAAACGTCATGAGTAATCGCAGACGCATAGCTGACAATAACAAAAACCGGCATGTGCAAAAGTCGGGAAGGTCGACGACGGAATACCCTTGCTCACAAATCGCCCACATTTAAGCCAAGCGTATTTCTACAGATTGAAAAACTCTTGAATGTTAAGTATATGTTAAAATAATACTTAGTAATAAAAATTATAATAATAATATTTGTCTTGACTTACCATATCGGGCCACCTTGCAGCTTCATCAGATACCCAGTTCAATGGGCATTAATTAAAGAAAAATTACTCCGAACGAGTCTCTAACTCAGTATATTTGTATTAGTTGCAAGGCAATCTCCTGCGTGCAGTAGTCAATATTGAAAATAAAATAAAATGCATTCTAAATGATTTTACACTTTCGAACAAATAAACTTTTGGGAAAATCACACCCGCAACTGTAGAAAATTAATGGAAAACACTTTAGTGAAACTTTTTAATTTACCATCCGATCGGTTTAAAGCCCATTTAAAACGAACTTTGTGCAAATTCAATTGAGACGTGTTTCACACTTTTCACAAAATCCATTCCAAAAGTTTTCTGGGCGAAAGGGGAAGTTAAGTCCGATTAGCGTCAAACTTAATTTCATAGTTCTTCAATATAAAATAAAAAAGCTTGCAACAGACAGACTGAGAGTGTATATTATAGTAAGAAAATATCTCTTACAATAATCAGCGAGGAGATGTATTGACAATATCTGCAGCAAAGTCATACAAAGGACATAATTGGTTTGGCATACCCTTTGCAAGGGTATCTAAAACGAGAGGAAGAACAACAAGCCAAATAAACACATAAATAAATCAAACGTATACCACGACAAATCTCGGTTGGCCAGCACATTAAAATATGGCCAATAACAACCAAATATCCATGATACGATGATGATGGCGATGATGACGATGTTTGCTGACCATGGGTAAATGCTTGGTAATAAGAGCCGCAGAAAAAACAAAATTCCAGTTGTATGTCACCGACTGCGCAATGCTCTGTTCCCAGTGTACAATAAGCAATTAAATCAGTCAACTGGAGACAAGAGCTTGCCTATTGAATCGCCTCGAAACAAATGCGCAACAAACGGCCGGTCGGACAAAGGAACGGAAGCCAAGACGGACATTGCACAAAACCAATATGCTCTTGTTCAGCTCTGTGAGCCGGGCATGAAAGTAGCAGCAACAAAAATTCAAAACCGAATTCGACTTGCACATTTTTGTAATCAACATAAAATCCAATCATCCGTCATGGGCAGCAGCCAACAGACGTTCGGCAGCGTTTGGGGGCTTTCCGAATGGGCTGGGGCAATGGCATTGTGGGCGGCCAAAGGGCTCTTTTAATACCCTGTACCTATTGCGAATTAGAAAGAGCTAATACGGTTTTAAGCGAAGATATGGAACAGGACGAAGGTAGTATATGCGACCCTTTAAAGTATATACATATAAACGACGAACTGAGTTGATCTGAC